CAAAGTGAAACAGCATAAAATATGCAATGTTTCTATGGCAACCAACCAGCGGTGAGTCCAGAAGCATTCTGGGTGATGGCCTGCATGAGGTAGCTAATGCTAGACTGACAACACCCAGCAGTTGATTTCTTTAAAACAGGTGGAAAATGATATGCAAGAAAACATTCACCATTTTTAAAAGAAATAAAAGCTCCGGCTGTTTTCTAAGCTGTGCTGCTGTAGCCCTGCTTGTGCATTGCAGAGGACTCCAGCTACGATTCTGAAACCATTTGCACCAGCTTTGTGACACTCACGGGAAGTCAATGTTCTGACAGTCAAACAGAGGGTTTGTAATGTATGTAGATTCACTTCAGAAAGGGGAAGACTACAATGATGGCAGCTCCAGACCTCCAGCTGTTCCATTTGTATCCTGCATCCTTCATGCAGTCAACCTGCAACTTCTGCAGAATTGAGTCATCTAGCATAGCGTGAAATCCAGCTCAGCACAAGTGTCAGGCCAGGCTGCGTCTACTGTGCAGTCCCACAACTACTGCAGTCCACTGACATCTGTACAGCATTGTCCTGTCTATTGCTCTATTCCCAGTCATTGAAAATGGAGTTTCTTATGAGATCATCAGCATTTTAATAGTGGACCTGTCCCATCTGTTATGCAAGCAACGTCTGACATGAAAGCCCTTTAAAAGACCAAGAACATCAATAGATTATATTAAATATTTGCAAATATGTGTGCATTTTTTTTATAAATACCGGCACCAAACGAGATATTGTGCACTGGTGTGGGCTGTAGAATTGCCCTTTGTGGATAATAAATGGAGAGATATCAAACTGCTAACAACATATTTTTCCAGTGTGTTGATATCATATCTTTATTGTGACCCATTGTTTTATAAGACTTTGTTATATAGACAGAAATTCATTTTCCTTCACATTCACTTTCTCCATGAGCCTGTTTCCTTTGTTACTATTTATTTTACATATAGCTTTTCCCCAATGTTATAATGTGTTAAATGTGTGCATAGCCGTCACTAGCCTTCCCAGCAGCCCAATAGCAGCTACTCATCAGCACATTCCACAGACACAAGCACACATTTAGAGCAATCCTGCGCTTGGCTTATGCCCTGCATCATACAGTTACCTGTAAGACCCCATTCACACTGAGCTTCAACAGAATACATGCTGTTTCAGCGTTGATTTGAGCTGATCAATTTTGAACGACATTGAGCTACAGTGCACATTTTGTCACACTTATTTTGGCAGTCTTATCAAAGTCTATTGGGGCCAAATCGCTTGAAATCTGCTGGAAAATAGCTCAAGTTCGAGCGACAAGTTTCAGCTACAAGCGACATTGAGCTGTGAGATGTGAACGATTCCATTGAAATGCATTGGAACAAGCTACATTGAGCTTCATATTTGAGCGGAAATCGCTCTACAAAACGCTCAGTGTGAATGGGATCTTATTCACTCCCCGACCACTTGGTCCAATGCTGGAAGCTGAAGGAAGTGCCCAGTACTTTCAGGTCTGGTCCAGCTCGCACTGTCATATAGGAAGTCTGAAGCCATGTGTAAGCTACAACTCCAGCCATTTGTAACGTATACAGGCTTTTGCTTAAGGCAGCTGAACAGCAAAGGTAGGAAAGGATGTTTGTATTAAGTGAGGAATGCATAGTTTTATTCTACATTCTGGAATTGTCTGAGAGGGAACACCACAATATATGCAGATTATACAGTACTCACCACTTACCTGTGTGCTTTTGGGTACAGCTGACTGTGCTTAGTGTGGCATTTGTTGTTGCTCTCACTGTTACAAAGCACACACTTTTATGTTTTAAAATGTTTACTTTAGAGCTTTTTCATAATTGTAAGGGTTTCCTCAAGATAAAACGATGCTGGGGATGCTTCCCTCTCACCCCTGTATAGCCATAAACATGAGTACCTGGAAGAGCCAAGCATGCACGATTATGGAAATATCTTTACAAGAAAGAACTGTTGGCCGGCAGACAATTTTTGTGGGTAGCGAAGGAGAGGTAATGACTTTGTCCTTGTTGTTTGTTTTTTTAGGTGAAGAGGAGTCTGTATTGGGCCCTCCTCCATCAGTTGATGAGGCTGCCAACACCCTCATGACCCGACTGGGCTTCCTCCTGGGAGAAAAAGTCACTGAGGTCCAAGCTGCCAGTGCACAGTACAGCATGGAGGGGCAGGAAGATAATCAGGTGAGGTTAATGCTGGCAGAGAGGTCTCTGACCAAACCAAAATGCCTATTACAAAATTCCATTCATTGTCTTCTTCTGTGGGTTGTTGTTGTTTTGGGCACAATTGGCCTCATTTATCAAATTGTGTAAGTAAAAAAATCTGAAGTGCCAGTAACCAGTCAGATTTTACCTGTACTTTTGAAACAAAAAAAAAGATGATGGGATTTCTTGCTAGAACAATCAAAACATTGCTTTTCTCAGACCGTAGAGATATATAGATGATGTTCTTTATGTTATTAAAGTCTACATGTGACATTTTCAAATATGGTAAAATGGGCCCTAGAAGAGCCATGGGAGAATCAAAATCTAAGGTGTGTTATGTAAAATTCGACCAGAGGTTGGAGTGCCACACATTACACCCCTCCCATGCCCTTCTATTGGCCTAAGTGTGGGGCAAAGATTCGCTAGTCAAAAGGCAGACACCTGGAGAGAGTGGGAGCAGCATAGAACCTTGGATTATTATTTACATCAATCAATTTTGTGCTCTGGAAATAAACTTTAAGTGTATGAAAAGCTTAAATGCCTTGTTTTAGTTCAAGTAGGGAAGGATTAAAACTCTAATCAGGTTTTCTTATTTTGTTGCCTGTGTCCTATGAAGGGGCTTTCCCTTCACTTCTTGTCCTGGAGGTGCAACAGGAAATGGGAGGAAATCTTTCCAAAGTGAGCGAAATTCCTGCAGGAACAGGTGTTCCACTCGGATGATATTTCCTCACTTCTTGGTCTTGTGACAACTGTGAAAGTTTGGATTCCCCATCACTTTCTGATTCAGTGACAATTGTCCCAGGGCCTATGGAGTGGTGACCCCCCCACCCCCAGTGGGGTCAGAGGCAACCACATAAACCTGACAAGGCGTCTAGTGCGCTTTCACTTTAAGATCCATGCAGGTATCTTAAGGTGTGGAAGTGTTAGGTTTTGCAGATACAATTAATGTGCAGTTGTAGGGGGTTTATTCGGTGTAAAGCTGAAGGTTAAGGGTTAAATTATAGTTAGGCGTAGGCTGAAATTTTACGTTTAGGTATAAGCTACATGTAGGGTATCTTGATCTTAGCAGGCCTGAGCAGGATATACAATAGGTTTCAGAAATGTTTGTAAAATTGTCCAAGATAGCAGGCACCAAGGTCACCAATACACCTAAAAACCTATTGAGAAGCCTTCGCTAGATTAGAAGCAGCCTTATTACACTAGACTGGTGCTCTGTATCCTTAGCCGCTCATATGTTTGGATCTGCTGATTATTGTGACCTGCATTTTTTTTATTGACAGTAACCTCTGCTTAATGCTGAGCTTGACTTGCTGAGGGCTTGTGATAGGTTTACTTTAATCCTGTAGATTTCATTTATCAAAATATAAGAGTTTTGTACACAGCAGGCGATGTAATCCTGCCTCACCCTTCACTAAACTTGCAGATAACCTTTGAATCTGCCACCCCTGTCCTCTGCAATAGCACCCTCAGGTGCCTTTACTTACCTTTACCACCACTCCTCCTCTTCTCTAACGCTCTCCATTGTCCCTGATATGCTATTGGCAGTTGACAACAGCACTGGGGTCTAGTGATTGGCCAGTCAGGCCCCGAGTCTTACAGTGTGAGGAGGAAGGCGGCATGTAATTGGTTCCTCATATGTAGAAGTAGCGTGGTTTTACAGGGATCAGTGTTGTGGGGAACAGCCAGAGGGTGCCTAGTGCATGCTGGGATGGCAGGTTTAGCATTTTCTTAAAATGACAGGTTTGCTATAAGATATTTTTAAATCCCAACTGGTGAATGTATTACCTTTATTAAATCACTGGTTTGACCATTAATTCATTAGTTCAGTCCGTGGTAATTAACATTAAGCTTAAAAGTTCCTTTTATGATAGTCACATATTTATATACATCATCCTCGCTTAATTTCAGAAATGTCACGTTGTAATTACATTTGTTATTAAACTAAGCACTTCTTTATCTTTACCTCATTGACTGTGCTCAGAACATTCTTCATCAGGAGTCTTATGACTTGAATAGCTTAAACATGATTGACTTCAGAATTTTGTTTTTTCAACCTTCTTACTCCGCTATCCTCACTCCAACTCAGGGCTCTGCGATGACTCAGAGGATCAGCCCCTGTTCCACCTTGACCAGCAGTACGGCTTCTCCTCCTGCCAACAGCCCGTGCTCTACCCTTCCTCCACCCAATACCACTGGTGCGACCAAGGACTGCAGCCCCACGTCCACCCTGGAGAGTAGGGACAGTGGCATTATTGGTAAGTGTACAGATTTATACATTACAACATATGATGGGCGGAGATGGTAGGACAGTATTTCCACAGTGATGAGGGAAGATCTGCTGATCAATAGGCCCGATGCCTTTGAGGTCACAAAAATGGAGCTTGACTAAACGGTATGTATGGTGAGGTGCTCTGGTTCCGTGACTATTATAGAAATGTTAATGTGGCCAGTTTAGGCTTTGCTATCGATTGTCATTTATGATATTCATGTTCTCTTAGATCAGTTTTGTCTTTACTGTATACTTGTCAATTCTAAAGGCGGATGAAGGCATAAAAATGATGTTACCATCTACAAGGGACTTATTGTGGAGATGTTGAGATAGTCGATCTCACATCTGTAGACGAAGCCTCAGTGCCTCATTGTCTCAGGGTATATAGTGGCTGCACAGGTTAAAACAAGCTTTGTGATTCCTGTTTTTAACTTTTAAAGTGTCTGGGCAAAATAAAAATATATATATTCTTTAGTACATCTCTGCAATACATGCACATTTCCCCCAATTTGTCTCCCTTTACAAATGTGCTGCAAATACAGAAATGTTGGCATGCCAGAAATCCAAGCAGCTCATAACTTCTTGATTGAGCTGACAACCCTGCCCCTGCTGCACTGAAATCACAAATATTGTTGTCAGCCCTGCCGGACTACAGAATTCCACCTCCTCATCTCTAACATAACGATGAGGTGTTCTGCAGTCCTGAGGGGAGAACTCTTGGGATTTCAAAACAGCAGAGGCACTCGGTTGTCATCTCACTGCAAAAGGTTAGGAGCTCACTGGATTTCTGGCAGGATCAACAGGTCTTTTTCTGTATTTGCAGCATTTTTGAAGAGACAAAACATGGGAAAATGTGTATGTATGGCAGAGATGTACTGAATTTGTTTTATTTTTCCCAGACACACTTTTAGATGTAGATGTCCGCATGTTCCTCCCCTCCGTGCTTCATAGCATAAACAGCATTTGTGTTCCTTCCTAATGTTGAAATACATCTTCAGCAAGTTGGATTGTACCTTCATGTCTGACTGTCCTTGGATGTGCAGGGGAGCTTAAAACACATGTATTCCACCATTGGCATGTTCCTAATGTGTGAATGACTGTAACAGATTACCACTGCCCTTCATCTGACAGATTGGAGGCATGCTTGCTATTTTTAGAAGGAATCCACTTAAAGGTGAAATTCACACAGAATGATTGGCTCGTGTAGAGCATCCGTGTCAGGAAAAATAACAATTCAGAAATGACCTTTTTTTTATCATTCAGATCATGATTTTTATTCATTTCATCTCTATTTGATGGTCATTCCTGCAATTATTTCAGCCAGCAGTCCCTATGAATTGGTATAAATCTTCTCCCATTTGTCAAATAGACTTCAACAATAGAAAGATCGTTCTCTATATGCGGCCATCTTGACGCTAATATAAATGAGACACGAGGGTGTTAGTACAGTGCTGTTATCACCCTGTCTCTGCTTGCTTCAGATTTCTACCCCTTGACCCCTGCCGTGTAACCCCCACCAGAGCCCACTTTATAAAATGCTCATTCTGTTTATACAATGCTTCAGCAGCCTGCAAAGCCTCATACACTCCTTATTATTCATAAGACCTCCTGCTGACCTCAATCCTGTGCTATCATATCTTCTCTGCGCATTAACAGTCTTCCAGCATACTCCCTATCTCTCTCAGCGAGAATAGTCCCACCAAGCCTTGACTAAAAACTACCCAGTCTGACTCCTGCAAAGCAGAAATCAATCTCTTTCCTCCCAGAGAGAGATTTTTACTCCATGATTGATTCTTCTCAGTTAGGGGGTCCTCACATTAACCCTCTCCTGCTTCAGATAGGCTCAGAAGGATCCTACCCCTGCTTGCCCCAGGAACAAAGAGGGAAATATTCATATGCTTCAGGGATTGCTTTAGCAGTAATCCCTTTCTACCCTAGAGGCACGGTACAGGTGATGACTCTTTTTGCCTCAAGCACACACCCCAGGCTTTCCCAAATGTTTAATCAGTCCCAATGAAGGTGTGGTGTGTACACCTTTGCTGTAGGTGTTGAATTTTCCCAAGCATTTTTCTCTGTGCTTTTACAACACTAAGGTATAAGGTAGTACACATTCCTTCGTTACCTATGATTGCAGCATTTACCTTCAAACTATTTTTTATATGGTGCTCACATTTTTACATGCCTGTTATTGTAATAAATGGAGATGCAGTTGCCAAAAAAAGTATGTGACCCCCTTAGAATTAACTGGTTTTCTGCAATAATTTGCCATAAAATGTGATCTGAACCTCATCTACAGTAAGTCACAACAATAGACAAACACTGTGAGGGGAATTTATCAAAATTGGAGCAGTTTCCCATGGCAACCAATCAGCCTCTCTCTTCATTTTCAAAGCTTAACTGAACAAACTGAAAAGACAATCTGATTGGTTACTATGATCAACTGGCTGCAGTTTCTGTCTGCTCCAGTTTTGATCAATTCCCCTCCATGTGCTTAAGCTGATAACACACAAAGAATTGTAATGTCTTGTGTCTTTATTGAACACACCCATTAAACATCTGCAGTGCTGGAGGAAAATGTAAGTGAACCCTTGGAGTTATTATTATTATTATACAAGATTCATATAGCGCCAACAGTTTGCGCAGCGCTTTACGATATAGGGAAGACATTACAATCACAATACAAATCAAAACAAGATGGTAAGGAGGGCCCTGCCCCTGAGGGCTTGCAATCTAAAAGGGAGGGAGAAGTGATACATTAGCTGGTCGAACCACCTTTGGCAGCAATGACTTCAAGCAAGCGCTTTCGGTAGCTCTGGTTCAGACCTGCACAACTTCGGGAGGAATTTTTAACCATTCCTGTTTACAAAACTGCTTCAGTTCAGACACATTTGTAGTATGGTGGAGGGAACATCATGATTTGGGCTTGCTTCACTGCCAAGTTTAAGTTAATGAATTCCCAAGTTTAGGGTGGCTGTCTGCCAAGCTGGAGCTTAGTAAAAGTTGGGTGATATAGCAGGACAATGCCCCTAAGCATCAAAGTAAATCCACCGAAGACTGGCTTCAGAAAAAGAAAATGCACCTTTTGGAGTGGTCCAGTCAGAGCTCAGACCTTAACCCATAGAGATACTGTGGAATGACCTTAAGAAAGACGTTCACACCAGACTTCATTATAAATTGTAGGATATATTCCAGCACAGTACAGACAGGGTTAAAAGAGAACTACTGTCCAACCTTTCTTGGCCATAGTTCTCTTTAGGGTAACAGGAGAACATTTACTATGTCCTCCTGTGAGCCATAGCTCAGAGCTGTGGTGCGGCTGGTAAAGATCCACCCCGCCACCTGATTGACAGCTGGAAGCAGATCCAGCTGTGCCCACCCCCTCCGCGGTACGTTTCTCTAGCCAGCACTGGAGGAACGGAGAGGAGAGAAGGAATCCATGCGGTGAGCCGTGACTGACAGTCAAAGCTCTCTGCAGGGAAAAGATTATGAACTGAGCAACCATCGGTTTATGAGCACTCAGTTCTCGACCAATAGAGCCAACTTGACAGCTTCAGTGTCGCACATCAACTCTAATTAAAAGGAGGATTATACACTCCTCCCCATAATTAGAGTAAACATAACTTCCTAGAGCCCCCTCCTTACCATTACATAGGGGGAGGCTAGGTAGGATTTTAAGCAACTAAAACACCTAAAATGTAAGCATAAGTGTTTAATTAAACATTAAGAGAAGTAAATATAATCCTTTTTTTGGCTTTTCTTCTATTTTGAGTCCCAGGAGTAGATTTACTAATGTCCTCCAAAGTCCGCATATAGAGAGCTACTGCCTGCTGTATGCTGACAGTGCAGAACCACGCTGCAGCCGGAAAGGATACCTGACAATATTGTCGGAATCCACCCCACTACCTGATTGACAGCTGGCTCTGCCTCTCTAGTTCCATCAGGGCAACCTGTGCCCGCCCCCTCCCTGTCTGTCCCTCCAATGAGCACTGAAGGAACAGAGAGGGGAGGGGGAAATCCCTGCGGGGAGCAGTTGATGACAGTCATTGCTCACTTCAGGGAGAAGAGCGTGAGCCATCAGCAGTTACACGATCACTCAGCTCTCGTTCTATAGAGCCGGCATGTGACAGCTTCAATGTACCATTCTGGCTCTAAGTATTAGTAAAAGTATATTCTACTCTCCCAATACTTCTCCTTTAAGTTAAACAATGTGAATGGGAACATATAACAAATATAATATAGATGTTATGCTAATTTGGCTGCAAATGTGGAAATATGCTTTAGGCTGTTAATATTATGTGTTGTTTCAGACGTAGTTGTGTTTTCAGTTTTGGCCCATTGCAATGCTCAGATGAGGACTGGTCTGCTTAGCACTACCTAAGTAGTGATAAGGAGTGCCTCTGACTTTCACAAGTGCTTGTTATTGTTCAGTGATACCTGGCCGATCCTTCTCTCCTATTGATCATGCACCACTTTAGCCCATAGAACAAGTCGCAGGAGAAAAAGCAAGAGCAGCTGGTGCCAGCACTACAGATAACAGGTGCATGTCCCCCTGCCTAACATATCACGGAAGACAACTGTCCGAGATGTGTTTGGCCTCATCTATAGTGGATAGTTTCCCCTTCAGAGCCCTTGAAACACACGCTGTTGCAGTTAACCCCTTCCATGACCCAGATACTCCGCTGCTGCAGATGTTCAACTTTTCTAACCGTGGGCACATTCTCTTATAAAAATGTTACCTTTCATCCTGCATGCCATCCATAGTCTTGTCCTAGAGACACAGCACACTAAATGAAACAAATGTGAAGGTGCTGCTTCCGGCAGCTGATTAGAATCCAGCTTTTGTCTTTCTAGGGCACATCAGGAATTGTAGCATCATATTTGATGGATTGCTTTGGGCTCCAGTTATCTGTTGCTCCAGTTCTTGTGAGTCAGCCCCACCATTTTATGGGTAGTTTTCATGATTTACTACAGTCAATTGTCATAAAATATACATTGAAATGTATTATTGTAATTGTTGCTCACCTTTTTTACGTTTCCTGTTCCATATTGTATGTTATATACATATTGTTGTCCGCACCAGCAAAACAGCTGCTGAGATAACAGGATAAACCACTGGGCAGATTCATAGATTTGTGTTTAGACAGTAAAGCTGGGTAGACACAGATTATCATTTCATTCATGGGTGGCCCTGTTTCTTCGACAAATGTTGATCATTAGATTGTGGAAGGGACATGCTGGAAAATTGTTGGCCAAACAGGGAACTTTATGCTGCAGTAGAAGGTTTTACAACCTGCATTGCACGTCCTAAGTAGGGAGAGTATGTAATGACTGGTATATGGACCAGAACCTCCAGGAGCAGGCCGTTGTCTGATACAGGCTTCCTGTAGAGCACAGGGGGCCCCTCAAACCCATGTGGAAATGGAGATTGCAACACCAACAAGAAGTTTATAGACGTTCATCAAATTTTAAAACTAAAATAATTGTATTTTATTTGATTTCTTCAGTTAAATGTTTTTTGTTTAATTCTTTATTTTAGTGTTTTCATAAAACAGGCAATCACAAACAAAACACATAATACATAAATCAGCTATCACATATCTTTTCCACATGTGAGATCTAGACTGGGCCTAACCAGCCCCAAATAAATTCAAAAAGTAACCTTAGCATTGTAAGAGCATATAGAGAGGGTCTGGGGGCTGCGTATAGGCCGGGACATGTCCAATGGAAAAGAAAAGTCACAGTGGCAATATTTCATCTGAACTAGTAGGCGAGACGTGCGGTGCTTCCGAGCTACGCGCGGTCTGAGGGAGCTGGCTATCATGAGCGAGATCACCCAAGAGTGTTATGTAGATATTGGCCACTGTGAGGTAGCAGGAGCACGTCCGACAAGGAGAAGACAGGAACGGAGGTTAGGAGTTATTGGTGGTGTATAACGGGTAAAGGATTGGATTCAGCTTCTATCATTAAGTTTCAGCGTAACTGTGTACTATAGGCTGTCTGACTCGACAGCAGAATCACACGTTTAGTACATTTAGGGACACCGAGGCCTTACTCATGTGGTTTAAGGCCCTGGTGCCCAACCAGCAGCCATTTGCCACTTTTTGTGTGGCCCTCAGATCTCTAGCAGTCTCATGTAATGTATCCCCAGTCAGTGACGATCTCATGTAATTTATCCCCAGTCAGTGACGATCTTCTGAAGCATGTACCAAAATTATTCTTACAATATTCTTAGGCGTTTTCATTTGCATCAGAAATTCATTTATTGAAAAGTTTGATATATATGAAGTTTCCTTGGGAATATCCTCTAGCAGTTTCACGGTTACATCAGCTGGTTTTCCACATGGAGCTCCGCTGTTTAGTAGCTGGGTGACCATGCAGGTTGTATCTTTATCTTTGTATTTCTGTTGTGGTTCAGCTCTGTTTTTATGTGAATTCTTGAAGAAGACTTTATTGGGTGGTTCAGTATTTCTGTGCTACCTGAGGCGTGTCCCTCTCCCCCTCCATTCCATGACTCCAGCCTACTTCACTCTGTTTCATAGGTCATTTTATATCTTCATTTTGAATCTTCATCGCTTTGTCCCTCCAGATCATGTGATACTGTTTAGGAGTTTAACATTTGCCATTCCCTTGCCACTGTGTTCATTATGTGAAGTCATCCTTCATCCATGGCCCCACACAACATCTGTTTGCATATTCATGAGACTCATTTTCCTACTTTCTCACACAAATATAGGCCTAAGATTAATGTATTCACTACTTAATTTGCATTGCTAGAATAACATTGTTTTATCTCATAACGAGACAGTCCTAGAGAGAGAGAGAAAGCCAGGAGAGAGAGAAAGGAGAGACAGCTAGGAGTGACCGAGGAGAGAGAGCCAGGAGAGACACTCCTGGATGTCTCTCTGTGCTCTCTGTCCTGGCTTTCTCTCCTCGCTCTCACTCCTGGATGTCTCTCCTTGCCCTATATCCTGGCTGAGAGCGAGGAGAGACAGCCAGGAGTGAGGAGAGACAGCCAAGACAGAGAGACAGCCAGGAGAGAGAATGAGGAGAGAGAGCCAGGAGGATGAGCGAGGTGACACCGCCAGCAGAGAAAGGAGAGACAGCCAGGAGAGAGAGCAAGGGGAGACAACCAGGAGAGAGAGCGAGGTGAGACAGCCAGAAGAGAGAGTAAGGATACATAGTGAGGAGTGACATCTTGTGTCCATGATTCAGGGCCATACACTGCAGAACTTGGTAAATGGGAGAGAGAGAAGAGTTGGAAATGTTGTATGAACCATTAGAGCCCAGTCACAGTGGTGGTCTACACCCATACTGTGCACGAAGCACGGCTGCATACGGGCAGCACCAGGATCTTCTAGTTGCCCCTGTCCCCCTGACATGATGACATCTTGTGTCTGGGTTTCAGTTGACCTGAAACACAGATACAGCACATAGAGAACTCAAAACCCAGACTGTCTGGGTGAATTCCGGACAGGTGGATACCCTAGTATAAGGAGGAGAGAAGATTGTATCATGACACCTGCATATTAGGAGGACCCTTGCCATGATATATATGTATGAGGAGGAGTAGAGAAAATCTGATCATGATATGGTATGTGTATATAAGGAGGCAGAGGCAGAGTTATGTAATGCCTGTGTTATGGAGGAGGTGATGATGTCTGCTATCTGTATATTTGGGAAGATTGTGAATTATAGACTCTAGTGTATATTATTACTAAATCTACATAGTTTATATTAGAAAGCCATCATACATCGTAAACTGTAATTAGAAAGCTGTCTTATGTATACGGAATGTATAACCTCTCTATTATCTTGTTATATCAGTGCCTGGATCTGTGTATTAGAAAGATTGAATACTACATAATATGTATCTGAGAACGCTGTCAGAGATCAGACACTGAATATGCTTTATTTGAGAATGCTGTCAGATACACTGTATATAATAGAGACGTCATAGAGTGTATCAGATACACTGTATATAATAGAGACGTCATAGAGTGTATCAGATACACTGTATATAATAGAGACGTCATAGAGTGTATCAGATACACTGTATATTGGCAAAATGTCAGCCAAGAGGCATTGAGGGGCCCTTGTCAGAAATGTACTTCTCCCTGCGTCTTTCTTCTGTCAGCAGAAGGTGAGCGGGACATGCCCATGATGTCTGTATTATGGGTTCCGGTTCTCTGACGTACGCAGCGTGTCCGTGGTTTGGATGTATAATGTCTGTGTGTTTGCTCTGCTTTCCTGCACGCAGACTGTTATTTCTACAAGGAAGCCGTTGCCTTAAGATCCTATCGATCTGCCTTTCCGCCTCCTGCTGCTGAAGTGGAGAGGGAGAGGAATGACAATGTCTCCTTCTCTGCCTCATGCTGAAGCAGAAGATCGAAGATTATGAATCGATGTGTCAGATTCCAACATTGCCCATTATTTTTCTTAGTAAATTTGTCAATGATGAGAATGCTGCCATGAAATTCGTGCTGACGGGTGTACGCGGGGCACGTGCGCTGTTAATTCCCAACTGCAGGTCCCACACATGCCCTGAATTGTGATTTACAATAGAATCTGCTCCGCTACTAACCTGCAGTGCAGCTATTAGAACATCCAGCCGAAGAAGAAGCTGATTCATCTTTGTAGAGTAATACTTTGTGGGTGTTCATTCTAATTCCTGACTCCTTCCTCTTACCTGCAGCTACCCTGACCAGCTACTCTGAGAATGTGGACCGGTCCAAGTATGGCGCAGACAGCAGCAAAGACCTCGGTTCTCGTGGGTGCATTAAACAGCCTCAGAAGTCCATGGATTCCAGTCTGTACCGTTTGGATGAAAATATAATGGCCTCTACCTTCAGCCTAAACAAGATCCCCGAGAGGGGACTGGACACAGGACTCTCCCAGTCTGTGCAGTCCATCCCACTCTACCTCATGCCCCGACCCAATTCTGTTGCAGGTGAGAAGAGGTGTCACCACCTGAATTGTCGCGGACTGCTGTGATTGTACTGTGCACAAAGTTCTGTTCCTGCGTGTGTCTAGAATCTTAATGCTGCTCTCTTTCCGTGGGTGTGAGGGGGAGGAAAAGAGATACAGGACTGCAGATGGTGGGAGGGAAATGAATCAAGCTTAAAAAAAACATTATTGTTAATTAATATGTTTTCTCTACTTGGACAGAGAAAGGGTTAATCTGATAAACATCTACTCATTTTGTTTTGGAGGGTTTTTTTTCTTTCAGTTTAAATAGCATTGGTGACAGACGTTTAGTGGGGTACATAGCAATGCAGGTTGCAGCATGCCTTTCTTCTGCAGTAGGTCACTCAGTAAAGAAGAGGACCAGTGTTCAGAGTACCTGCCCCACAACCATATGATCCCCAGAAATTAAGAAGAACATGCAAATGCTGGCCACTGGACAAATTATAGCATGTCTATGTGAAAGACACATTCTCTGCTTCAAAGATACACTGTATATTGGCAAAATGTCAGCCAAGAGGCATTGAGGGGCCCTTGTCAGAAATGTACTTCTCCCTGCGTCTTTCTTCTGTCAGCAGAAGGTGAGCGGGACATGCCCATGATGTCTGTATTATGGGTTCCGGTTCTCTGACGTACGCAGCGTGTCCGTGGTTTGGATGTATAATGTCTGTGTGTTTGCTCTGCTTTCCTGCACGCAGACTGTTATTTCTACAAGGAAGCCGTTGCCTTAAGATCCTATCGATCTGCCTTTCCGCCTCCTGCTGCTGAAGTGGAGAGGGAGAGGAATGACAATGTCTCCTTCTCTGCCTCATGCTGAAGCAGAAGATCGAAGATTATGAATCGATGTGTCAGATTCCAACATTGCCCATTATTTTTCTTAGTAAATTTGTCAATGATGAGAATGCTGCCATGAAATTCGTGCTGACGGGTGTACGCGGGGCACGTGCGCTGTTAATTCCCAACTGCAGGTCCCACACATGCCCTGAATTGTGATTTACAATAGAATCTGCTCCGCTACTAACCTGCAGTGCAGCTATTAGAACATCCAGCCGAAGAAGAAGCTGATTCATCTTTGTAGAGTAATACTTTGTGGGTGTTCATTCTAATTCCTGACTCCTTCCTCTTACCTGCAGCTACCCTGACCAGCTACTCTGAGAATGTGGACCGGTCCAAGTATGGCGCAGACAGCAGCAAAGACCTCGGTTCTCGTGGGTGCATTAAACAGCCTCAGAAGTCCATGGATTCCAGTCTGTACCGTTTGGATGAAAATATAATGGCCTCTACCTTCAGCCTAAACAAGATCCCCGAGAGGGGACTGGACACAGGACTCTCCCAGTCTGTGCAGTCCATCCCACTCTACCTCATGCCCCGACCCAATTCTGTTGCAGGTGAGAAGAGGTGTCACCACCTGAATTGTCGCGGACTGCTGTGATTGTACTGTGCACAAAGTTCTGTTCCTGCGTGTGTCTAGAATCTTAATGCTGCTCTCTTTCCGTGGGTGTGAGGGGGAGGAAAAGAGATACAGGACTGCAGATGGTGGGAGGGAAATGAATCAAGCTTAAAAAAAACATTATTGTTAATTAATATGTTTTCTCTACTTGGACAGAGAAAGGGTTAATCTGATAAACATCTACTCATTTTGTTTTGGAGGGTTTTTTTTCTTTCAGTTTAAATAGCATTGGTGACAGACGTTTAGTGGGGTACATAGCAATGCAGGTTGCAGCATGCCTTTCTTCTGCAGTAGGTCACTCAGTAAAGAAGAGGACCAGTGTTCAGAGTACCTGCCCCACAACCATATGATCCCCAGAAATTAAGAAGAACATGCAAATGCTGGCCACTGGACAAATTATAGCATGTCTATGTGAAAGACACATTCTCTGCTTCATAAATATTACCTGTTAAACATTCACTGGTGGAGAATCAATCACTCCCATTTAAAGCACCTGGACCTGGATGGTTCTCTACCAGAGAATGTTTGGGAAAGTCACATTCTCTTCTTTATAAACAAACCCCTTGGTCCGCTTTTGTGTCAGATCCCATGTTCCAGATGAACATAATTTATCACCATCTTTGTTGTGTGAGGGTCTCCCTGATGGATGGGTCATGTAGGCCCCCACACTACATAGTTGTTGATAATGTGTTAATCTGACAGATGAACTGGATCTACGTATGTCCAGCTGTGCAGTAAGTGTTTCTGAAATCAATTTTCTCTCTAGAAACAGTTATACAGCATACGTACATTAAGCTGCTGTTTTCAGAAACTCAGGCACAGAAAAGAATTGTGAAAGAATAGTGAATCTGCAGGTATGTGCACAGTATTATCGCACTTGTTCTTCCTTTACACTTTACCTTCAGAAGGTTAATTCTACTATAGAGAGGTGAATGGAATTTCCTTGGCGTGCACTTGGCTGGGGTCCACAATGATGGGACTTTGAAATTCCACAACAAGGTGGAATGTTAATTGCAGGTAAAATATGGAGTAGTTAACATGCAGCAGTCCTGGTGTGCTTGTATGTAAATGAAGAGTCCAGCTGAGCACGTATCTGTTGGAGATCACAGCTGGAAATGAAGTGTATTGACATGTTGTTCTGTACAGGGAATATATTTTCTTGTATCGCAGAATTATTTATGATCCTTATCCCTTCATCCTTAATCCTCTTTTTCCCCTTTCTACCATTTTCCACTGCTTATACATTGTACATTTTGTTCTGATTTTCTTTTCTCTTTACTTGTTTGTTTCCTTCTGTAACCTTCCCCATATTGCTTCTTTCTTTCCTTCTGTAACCTTCCCCATATCGCTTCTTTCTTTCCTTCTGTAACCTTCCCCATATTGCTTCTTTCTTTCCTTCTGTAACCTTCCCCATATTGCTTCTTTCTTTCCTTCTGTAACCTTCCCCATATTGCTTCTTTCTTTCCTTCTGTAACCTTCCCCATATTGCTTCTTTCTTTCCTTCTGTAACCTTCCCCATATTGCTTCTTTCTTTCCTTCTGTAACCTTCCCCATATTGCTTCTTTCTTTTGTTCTGTAACCTTCCCCATATTGCTTCTTTCTTTTGTTCTCTCTTCACTCCATGACTACATCATTCCTCTTTTGTGGTCTTTGCTTTTCCTTCCACCTTGCATTGTCCCTTACCCTGTTATATTTAGTTTTTTCGTTCTCTCTCTTTTGATTGCCATTTATCTATTTAACCACTTTAGCCACTAGTTCCGCACACCTAGAGGATCTTGCCTACTTGGATGAGCAGAGACATACCCCTCTACGAACCTCTTTGCGAATGCCACGACAGACCCTTGCCGGACCACGTACCCCACAGGATCTGCGAGGTAAGAGCGGCAAGAGTATGGTAATCCCTTCCATCACTTCCTCTTTGTATAATGGCTGAGCTAAAATTGTCTGTGAAATTATCTGTAGTCCCGGAGTTAATAATAAATATGGTAGATCCAGAGTTTCTGACAGCAATCACTTTTTTTTTTCTCTGCTCAGTTCGCTTTGCTCCCTACCGGCCTCCTGACATCTCCTTGAAGCCTTTGCTGTTTGAGGTGCCGAGTATCACCACAGATACCATGTTTGTGGGCCGGGATTGGCTCTTCCATGAGATTGATGCACAGTTGCAGAGTGAAGATGAGAGTGTGAATCGGGGTGTAGTAATCTGTGGCAACATTGGTTTCGGGAAAACTGCCATTATTTCTCGGCTGGTGTCCCTGAGCTGTCACGGGACACGTATGAGACAGATAGCATCCGACAGCCCCCATGCCTCACCGAAACGTGAGTATTAGTGAGAGATTTGTAAAAAGACATACAGAGATCATTGTAAATGTAACCTGTAACAGATGTTTACCATCTTCATTGTAAATGTAACCTGTAACAGATGTTTACCATCTTCATTGTAAATGTAACCTGTAACAGATGTTTACCATCTTCATTGTAAATGTAACCTGTAACAGATGTTTACCATCTTCATTCTAGATGTGTTTCCACTATAGTTTAGTTCAGTGATCATGTGACATACAGTGTTCTGAAAATGGATTTTAGCTATTTTCTAACTTTACTCCCTTCTATAAACAGACTCCGAGGCCAACCGTGAAATTGCACAGCCAGGGCAGACGCACACTGGCATCTCTAGTGGCAGCTGTCCGGGAACACCTGAAATGCGTCGACGGCAGGAGGAATCCATGAGAAGGATAGCAGCACAGGTAATGAGGACAGTGATTAATTACAACAGGCGTTGTTCTCAAAAAGGGAAACTGTACACATTTTTTCTGAAGCAAGAGGCTATGCATAGGCTTTGGCAATGTCTGGCTGTTACTGCAGAGAAAAAGGCCAGTGCACAAACTGTACTGCAGTATGGTGAGCCTGTGTCTGTTCTGTTATTCAGCCAAGTGAGTCAGAGCATAGACTGCTGCATAGTGCTACTGGCAGAGGAGGGCGGGTATGGGTATATATGAGCTGATTTATAATACCTGGTGTACGGGAAAACTGACCTGTCAATTGTATATTTAGCATCAGTTCTCTAATCCCAGTACATTGATGACATGTACTGGGATGCCTTACCATGCTCCAATTCCCATAAAGCACTCTATGTAATTTAGAGCATTAACTACGCAGGAAATTAGGGAGCTGGTTCAAGAAGGATGGTGCAAAGGTGTGAGTAAGAAGAGTAAACCAGTGTATGGATAATGGTAGTGAACATAAACGATGTGTGGACTCTGTAGCTGGATAGGGCAGAGCCTTGCTAATACTTTGGGAGGAAAGGCAAAGACTATGCACTATCCAATTGGCTTTTAAGGGGGATGACCCTTTGTAATATATATTGCACTCTTAAGGTGTCACTGCTGAGCAATCCTGACCAATACCTGTGCAGTAGACCAACATTAGACTCTTGTACTTTGTTACAGTACATCTGTTTCTTTATTGGGCACTCCTTTTACAAACCTTAAATATCAGTTGATTGCTAAGAGTGGATGTCTGTGGTAATGTCCTTCTGTTTATTTTCTTTAGGTGGTGGCATATCACTACTGCCAGGCTGACAATGCATATACCTGCCTAGTGCCTGAGTTTGTTCACAACGTCGCTGCCCTGCTCTGCCGTGCCCCCCAGCTTGTAGCTTACCGGGAGCAGCTGCTGCGTGAACCACACTTACAAAGCCTACTAAGCTTACGCTCCTGTGTGCAAGATCCAGCTGCCTCGTTTCGTAGGGGAGTTCTAGAGCCACTGGAAAACCTATACAAAGGTAACTGTTAAAGCAACTTCAATGATAACAATCCCTAATGCTTTGTATTAAACCTGCAATACCTGAATTAATTTCTTTCTGGCCTCTGTTTCAGAGAGGAAGATCCCCGATGAGGATTATATCATTCTGATAGATGCACTGAATGAGGCAGAGTTCCACAAGCCAGACTATGGAGACACTATTGTGTCTTTTCTGAGCAAGATGATAGGAAAGTTCCCCCATTGGCTAAAACTCATTGTGACTGTGAGGACAACCCTGCAGGTTAGCAAGTCTGTGAAGAAATCTCTCCTTCATAGTTCACATCTTTGTCTTCCTTGCGATGTCACTCTCTCCATCCTATTCCTTTACTATTACTCTTTTTCCTGTTCATTTACTAGTCAATGTTCCTTGGTAGACTTGGACTACATAAGATATTGCAGTACACAAGTTGTACAACCAAAAATCTCCCATTATTGATCTTGTGTTTCTCTCACTCACTTTGAAACGGCATCTATTGACTTCTATATTGATCATTATAATAACAGCTATTGACATAATTGCCCATGATGTACAACTGTGCACCATCAATTACAATCATTTAGCATTGATTATCAGATTATTATAAGTCAATGGGAGTGGTTTCTAGTGACTTCCAGGATTCCATCATTGATCTTACACAATGTTACACAAATCATGTCACCATGTGGATTGGGCCTTAAACACACTTTATTTGTTTCCATAACAGGAGATTACCAAGATGCTTCCCTTCCACCGTATATTCTTGGACCGGCTGGAAGAAAATGAGGCGATAGATCAGGATTTACAGGCCTACATACTGCAACGCATTCACAGCAGTTCCGAAATCCAGAACAACATCTCCCTCAATGGAAAGATGGACAACACCACATTTGGAAAGCTCAGTTCCCACCTGAAGACTTTGAGCCAGGGCTCTTATTTGTACCTGAAGCTTACATTTGACCTTATAGAGAAGGGCTACCTAGTACTCAAGAGCTCCAGTTACAAGGTGGTTCCTGTGTCTCTGTCCGAGGTCTACCTCCTACAGTGTAACATGAGGTTCCCAACCCAGTCCTCTTTTGAAAGGGCTCTCCCTCTTCTTAATGTTGCTGTAGCTTCCCTCCATCCCTTGACTGATGAGCACATCTTCCAGGCCATCAATGCAGGCAGCGTGGATGGAGGTCTGGAGTGGGAGGACTTTCAACAACGTATGGAGAACCTTTCCATGTTCCTCATTAAAAGAAGGGACCTGACTCGTATGTTTGTTCATCCTTCCTTCAGGGAATGGCTAATTTGGAGAGAGGATGGAGAGAAAACCAAGTTTCTATGTGACCCAAGGTGAGCAAGTTGATGTCTTGCATTCACAAGCTATTCTTTTTAAATCTGCATAATATTGCTAAGACTGCCCATGTGTCTTTGTCCTAACTCCTTATCTTATGGCCTAGTCTGTGCTACTTATATCTGGTTTGTATTTATCATACTATATACTATGCCCAGTTCATCACCACTTCTGTTGAGGTGCATGCTATATGACCCAAGCCTGTATGTCCCCAATGTAAGGCCCTATATCTGGCATGTAAGGTCCCACGTCTGTCCCACTCTGCTTGTCTACAATTTTGATAGCCAATACTGCACCACTAAAGTATGAGTATCAACAGCAAACGGCAATTGTGTTTATACTCAGGATGATGGACCTGAAAACAGAACAGTGCCAGGGAGCAGTTAGAGGGTTTTCATGTGACGATATCTGTCAAATAAATAAACTTAACACGTCTTGTTATATTTAGCAATGTTCCTGACATAATTTGCAGTTCTGTTAGAACTTTTCTCTTTGGGGACAAGTGTGAGACTGGAAAGTGGTTTCTCTGATTCACTTTACTGGACTGTTATACACAGAAGCTTAATGCAAATGTGCCCCTTGCACATGCCAGTTGAAGCAGCACATTCACTTTAATGCCCCCTACCCCGTAGAACATACTCACCTTGACCTCTGGCTGCTAAGAATTACCTGCTGGCTCTTAGGGCCTCATCTGTGCATCCTACAATTTCTGGGGTTTTAGGTCCCCAGAATGTCCTATTAGTGAATAGTTGAATGGTTTGAGTAGGGAATGAATAAGGAAATTAACTGTTTTATTCTCATGCATTGTGGTGTTAATGGCCATACACTCAGCCCTTCTAATCTGTCTAGGAAAGCTCGTGCTGAGCCACTGATGGATATAAGTGATAACTCTGTGTGTTTCCTCAGGAGTGGACATATCCTTCTGGCTTTCTGGTTCTCTCGTCAGGAGGGGAAGCTGAACAGGCAGCAGACGATAGAGCTTGGGCATCACATACTGAAAGCGCATATCTTCAAGGTACAAACTAAACTGGAACTGGACACTGACGTGGTGTAACCTGGGGGGCCCCGAACTATACTTTCACCTCTTTCTTTTCCTCTCTTTTACCAACTCTGCATAAATCCTAACATGATGACATAGAATAGAGGAGTGCCATTCACCACCAGAATTTTAGGCACCCCCATGATAAATCCCTAAGAGATACATGATTCATATATTCTTGCTGAAACAAAAATCTGCTATACCCCCCTTAGCACCATATTTAGTATTTAGTATGAATACTTGGTAAGTAACCACAGATTGTAAAGAGACTGTTGCTTCGATTGATGACCTACCACAACAAAGTATAATCAATAAAGACGTGAACTCATACGCAGTCCTCTGGTTACTCCATATAAACAAAGGTGGCTTTTTAGTGTAATGCTGTTTGTGTAATAATTAGCTGTCACATACACACAATTGAAGAATAGAAGAGAGGTTGTGGGGGAGAAAATAGGCACTGAAGTATTTAGATGCAGTGGTTTTGTCTGTGGGTTTTTGACAGTGAATGCAAATGTTCTAAATAATGCAGCATACTGACGTCATTCTGCATTTATAGGGTCTCAGCAAGAAAGTTGGCGTTTCTTCATCCATTTTGCAAGCCCTGTGGATGTCCTACAGCACAGATGGCCTCTCCATGGCCCTTGCATCTCTCAGAAATCTCTACACTCCCAACATCAAGGTGGGTCTGAGTCCGTTGTAATGAAAACATATGTGCAAATGTATTACATGTAAAGATTTCTGTTGTTTATGGCTTGGTGCTGGGGTAGATGGAACAGACTTTGGCTGGTACAAGCCTAGTTATTTTAAGATTTTCCTGTGTTCGTGAAATGAATGGGTAAAACATTGTTCTTGTTAATTCCTTGAGAACGATTGTATCCATCCTAATGCCTTGCATCCATCATTAATTACCGTTGTATTATTTTTTCTTTAGGTGAGCCGTCTCCTGATCACAGGCGGAGCCAATGTTAATTACCGCACTGAGGTGCTGAACAATGCCCCCATCCTGTGTGTTCAGGCCCATCTGGGATACACGGAAATGGTGGCTCTGCTGCTTGAGTTCTCTGTCAACGTAGATGCCAGTTCCGAGAGCGGAATGACCCCTCTAGCATATGCTGCTGCTTCAGGTCACCTGACTATCGTCGTGCTTTTGTGTAAGAGGAAAGCTAAGGTGAGTGTGGGCAAGTCTGTTACAAGGGAATACAAATGATTCACTGTGGTTACGGTTTGAATGCCTGCAGTGTATGTATAAAAAGATCTGTATGTACACACCTTACAACATTGATAAACATAAAAACCAGGTAAGCTCTGCCTGTAACATACATTTTCAAGTCATTAAAATGTAGGTGACACTATGGCTCCACAGTAAACGTGTCCTCTCACCATAACACTTATCTGTCGGGCTATTTTGATCTTATTGGTATGCTGCTGTTGCATCCATCAATAATGAGTTCACCTAAAATGAAGCTTATACCTTACCTTGTGTTGGTGGCTTTGAAATCTGGTCACAGAACTTTTCATTTATCAGTACCTGTCCTACAACTGTAAGGGTGCAGAAAATGTAATTTAGTGCTGCCAGGAGTTAATTAGATGGTATGTTTTTTTTTTGTGTGGCTGTATTATGTTATCTGTGCCATGCACACAGCACCATCCTGCAGGCAGAACCACTGGGCTGATTTCCAGGGACTGCATACATAGTTACATAGTATTTGAGGTTGAATAAAGACATTAGTCCATCAAGTCCAACCCATTAGGATCTCATTCTCATTCCATCCCCTTTTTAACCCCTTCATGACTGAGGCCCTTTTTTCAATTTTTGCACCCATGTTATATTCCACATTTTAGGCCTGAAAATGACGTAAAACCCCCCAACATTATATATTTTCTGAATGCCAAGACCCTATAGAATAAAATGGTGGTAGTTGAAAATTTTTATGTTGCGCAATATTAGCGCAACTCCTTATTAAACCCCAAAATGTAGTGACAAATTTAATTAAATGCCCCAAAACAAACGCAGACATTCTGTCCTCGCCCCTGCATAACCTGGTGCCTGGGAACCTGCCCAAGCCTGCAGGTTATTCACTTGACAGTTGACTGCCTGCCAGACAACATGGCAGCACAAAAATAGGAAACTGTACAGAATGTGACATTTAACCGCTGGTTCACGTTCACAAAGCACCTTTAAAAAAAAAAAAGTCTGATCGGTTCTTTCGCTCTTATCCTTTCTCTGGTGTGTGCCTACAGGTGGATCTCTTGGATAAGAACGGGCAATGTGCACTGGTCCATGCTGCTCTGCGGGGCCACCTGGAGGTTGTGAAATACCTTATCCAGTGGGACTGGACTTTGGCTGGACAGCAATCAGGGATCCTAAAGAAGAGCCAAGCCATCCAGCAAGCACTGATTGCAGCTGCCAGCATGGGATACTCTGAGGTAAGACCCTCGGCATCTAGTATTCAAGAAGAATGGCAAAACATATGTCAGAGGTGGGGAAAGGTTCCCTGGGGTTCATCGGAATAAAAAAATTAGGAATGGATGCTCCTCACTTCACAGTTCTGGTCACATGTCACAATGGGCTCACACTATTTTCTCATCGTCTGCTGTTTTAATGCTACTCATACTCCAGGGGTTCAAAAACAGCAATCAGGTCTGAACAAGACTGTTTGTAGAAGCTCAGTACAAAACAAGATTTCTCCACATAGCCTCTGACAGATATTTGGTAGGGGGAAATGAGCGATTTGGTAGGGGGAAATGAGCGTAGGTGTTCTAATAGCTTGATGATCAGGAATATGAGAAGTTCTCTGTCAGGAATCTGCAGTGAATCCTCTGGTTGTTGTTTTTTTAATTGTATATTTCCTCACACTTATCTTCTGTAAATGAAATCTGCATTGGAAGGTTATATCTATTCTCAGTGGTATTCAGTTACGCATTCAGGGTCTCCTCTCGCAACATGTGGCCAGGAAGATGCGGTGTATTGCCAGTTCTGTGAAGCTAAATTCCGGGCTTGTTGGCTCTTTATATTTTATTAAAGGAACCCAAGGGTGTGGACATATTTTAACTCCTACACAGCTTGCGGTAGTTAGTGCCTAGGTGACTGCTACATCTTATGGTTTTTTTTACCCAGGATGGCTACAGTCAGTCACTCTCTACTCTAGTGCTTTGCCATCAGCCCACATTTTGGTGTTTAGACTATTGCCTCATGTTAGATGTTATGTTGATCACAAGGAGGCACCACATTGTGAGTTTTCTGTTTGGTATTGTTGGACAAATTGCTGTGTGTTTGTAAATATTGCTCCCTGCTATGCCAAATTGGTTTTGAATAGCACCTGCTATGGGGTTTGTGCGGATGGGGTTTTGTTGCCCTCAAGTGGATTTTGCATTCCTATGCAAGTCTACGGGAATCCAAAACCTGCTTGAAGAAGGTCAAATAGATCAGTAGGAGGTCAGCTGCAGGTCAAATGCACGTGTCAATGAATTCTGAATGATCTCACACGGATACCATCAACACACAAGCCCAAAGCCCATCGGCTCAGGCCCTTAATCTTCAGAAATGGTTATTTATCATTTTATTCAATTCTCTAATACATAAAAAGGATTTGTGGGTAAAGTGGCCCTTTAGTTGTAAGGTGAGTGGAGTGGGGGAGCACCGGAATCGGGGCTAATATGGTTTCCAATGCAGTGACGTTATTTTGTACCGAGGCAGCTTTTTCATGTCCAAGGGGCCTCATCGGAGCCCCTAGGATGACCGTTTTAGATAAAAAGAAAGGGGAGCATCAAACTGGAAAGACAATACAGATGTCATTCTTTACTCATCACACTGCTGTATTTCAAAAAAAAAAAAAAAAAAAAATACTTTGTCAATGCATTTTGGGGAGAGATTGCCCTTTTCAAGGCTTTCTCTGTTCTACCCCGTCTTGCATTTCAATGTAGGGAAGGATTTGGCAAAACAAACCGCTGATTTGGGAAAGCACACCTCATCATGGCGTAGATCCACTCTTAGATGCTAAATAGGGACGTGTACCAATTCCAGAAATAAAACTGTCTTTTATTTTTCAGATTGTCTCTTACCTCCTGGACCTACCAGAAAAGGATGAAGAGGAGGAACAGAGAGCTCAGATCAACAGCTTTGATAGTCTGTGGGGAGAGACGGGTGAGTGCTGAGATGACTATAACTGGAATCTGTTCAGTTAATGTACATTTAAACCCTCTGGGTTTTTGCATACATCTACTGCTAGCAAGCAGTAGATGTATGCAAAAACATTAAAAAAGTTACCAAAAAGGTTAAAACTTAACTGTGTCCCCACCACGCGCTCCCGTCCGAAGTTCTGAAAAAACTCGAGCGGCCGCAAAGGATGATGGGGCGCATGCACAGTAGAGATCTTCAGCCGAGAGAGGAGGAGATGCACAGGGTAATAAGTAATTGCAGGCAGCACAGCAGTGTGCACGCGGACAGACACCGTGGGACACTGATCCAGCGCTGACTGCTGTGTGTTCTGAGACCGGCACCAGCGCTGGAGGAACTCCTGAAAACTGCTGTGTGTTCTGAGACCGGCACCATCGCTGGAGGAACTCCTGAAAACTACTGGAAAGAGGAAGATGATCAGATAAAGAGGCATCATTGAAGCTAAGTCCTTACACCAGCATAGGGGGGGAGAGGAAAAAAAATTGAGTTTAATATCACTTTAAATGAAATGTAGTTGCATCGGTCATTTGTATAGAATTTGTGTTTCTCTCTCTCACTATTCTTTTTAAATACGTATTCTTTATCTATTCCTTCACTTACAGCTCTTACAGCTGCTGCAGGCCGTGGAAAGCTTGAGGTTTGCCGCTTACTGTTAGAACAGGGGGCAGCCGTATCCCAACCTAACCGGAGAGGTGTTGTCCCAATATTCAGTGCCGTCCGACAAGGACACTGGCAGGTAAGAAAGCAGATGGCCACTTTGCCATGTAGAAGTAAATATTTGATGGATGAGAAGACTGACCAACTCTTTCTTTCACAGATTGTTGACTTGCTGCTTACACATGGTGCGGATGTTAGCATGGCAGACAAGCAGGGTCGTACTCCATTAATGACTGCAGCTTCAGAAGGACATGTAGCCACTGTGGATTTCCTGCTGGCACAAGGTTAGTAAAACCAAGTGGTTGTAGTGGAGCTTTCCCAGGACAGCAGCCCCTGATTTGAGCAGCAAAGCCTGGGAATTAAGAGTTAAATGTTTAAGTCTACGTAAACAATAATAATAAACTTCTCTTATTTCCTTTCTTTCGGTCTGTGAAATATCAAAGAGCCATGACAAACACTTTCAATTGTATAAGTGCCAGAATTCTAGTGAGCTCCTAACTTCATTTGGTAGGCTGGCAATGCTGCACTGAAATTTTATACAATGCTATCAGCTCTGCCTATGTTCCCTCTGTGAACTACAGAACTTCCCACAATTATATTGAGATGAGGTAGTGTTTTGTAGCCCTAATAAACTTTCTGACCTAAGGTGACAACACAGCTGCTCCATAGATGCACTACGGTCAGTGGGCGCTGTCGTGATAGGATAGGAAGTGTGTTACTGGCAGGATCACCAGGTGAAAATAAATGGAAAACAAGCATTAAAAAAAAGAAATGTAAAAGTAAACGAACTTTATTAAAATAGAAAACTAGTGCAATATAAGTCGCTATATGTTACATTTTTCTCTTTGGGTTTAGATACAATTTAACTTGACATGCCTTGAGTTCGCACAATGGACTTGGGTTATGTTATAACAAATGCGGTACTATTTGTTTTTTAATATGAAACACAAATATTACATATTTTTCTGTGTTTCTTTTCCTTGACCTGAATGTGAGTAGCTTTATACAAACTTCTCTTTAAGTGTTGTAATAAATGTTGATATAAGATCACACACAGCAGTCATTTATAATTGAGTTACTCTGTTTGTGTCTCATCCATTGAAGGACACAGGAATTCAGAGACTGTTGAGTTATATTGGCGCCTACAGGAGGATTGGACACTGGCAAGCAAAAAAATTGTGGGCCAGCCCAAGTTAACCTGCTTTGCTGAGAAAAGTCTAAGCCTCTTGCCAGGTACCTTTTTATGCTGAGCTGGTCTCTATATGCAGTTATCCGGACCAGCCTTTCCTCAGCCTGGCTTTGGAGACGGTAAGCAGACCCCACTGGACTGGATGTAGTGGTGCTAGCCTGGCATATGACCTTAATGCTCTGGGCTCTGCATTGTGGCGCTTTCCAAACCTGCGCATACTCGTAAAACTTATACAATGCCGCGGCTCTAGACCTGGCTAAGTGTGCCCTGTCATTAAAGACTTACTTTGTGAGTTGCCTGTCTGGGCTGAGCCCTGGGAGCTACCTTGTTCCTAGCACTGCTGGGTGCAATTCAAGTTCTGATTTTTGTCAGTCTTACCAAGAAGGGGTGAGCACTGAGGGACTGAGCGCTGATGTCCTTCGCTGAATGGAGTGACTCTGTGCTCTCTTTCCTGCCATTCAATGTTGAGGAAGACCTTCCCACTACCGCTCCTACTGCAAGAGACACATGGAACACTCCTGAATTCATCCCTGCTGCCTGCCTACTATGACTTTGTCACCTTTGGCCACCTGACCCTACACCTGCTTCCCAGCAGCTAGGTTCATGAGTCTCCGAGGCCTTGCCTCATACCATGAGCATGCTGCCTTCCACTTTATGGTGCATCAAACTACACTGCACAGACAGCTATAAATAATCCTTGTGAAGAGTGGGTGCTTGGCTTAATGGTGGTTCCTTGCAAAATCCAATAATGAAGAGAAAACCAGCACACCAAGGAGTAGATTCTAAAGCAAGATTTACTGAAGTCCCATATCAGTTTGAGTGTACAGTGGCCCTCTTTTTCAAGGTGACAGTCTCTTGTCACATGACTCTTTACTTCTGCATGAGAATTCTGGGGCTGATTGTAGTCTCCTTCGAGGCAGTCCCATTTGTCCACTCTAGACCCCTACAACAAAACAGCTTTTGTCATGGTACTAGTTGGTCCTTGGAAATACCAATTTCTTTGGCACTAAAGACCAAGTTTTCCATGCCTTGGTGGCTAAAGAATCCTGCTCTAGAGTCAGGGAAGATCCTCACGATAGGACTCCTCCCTAGCATGACAGGCTGGCATCTAGGTACTTTTTTGGTTCAGAGGAATTGGGCATCAAAGAAACCTCCTTTCCTGATCAACATTCTGGAGCTTTGGGGCGACTTGGTTGTCGTTGCAATGCTGGACTTCATGACTGGAGGGTCATATGATCAGGGTTCATTTGGAAAATAATGAGGGAGGAACCAGATGTCTTGCTACAGCGAGAGAGGTAGAGTGGATCCTGTCCTGGACGAAACTTGTCCTGTCCTGTCTGCAGTTTACATCCCAGGACAACTGGCAGGCAGACTTCCTCAGGCAGCAGTGCCTGGAGCCAGAGTATCGGTTGCTACATCTAGGATGTTGCAGGACCCATGTCACAGGTGGGGGTGCCTGATGTGGACATCCTGGCCTCCAGGTTTAACAACAATCTAGACAGGTTTGTCTCCAGGTACATGGAGATACTCTGCTGCTTGTGTGGGATCTGCACACCGTGATTTCTGCCCTTCCTCCCGTGAAACTCCTTCCTAGTCTGCTTCGCAGGATCAAGATGGAGTGCATTCTAGTAGCTCTGGGTTTGTCTAGGCAGATGTGTTACTCTGACTGGGTAAGACTCCTGGCAGACACCCTGTGGGCTGTTTCAGATCTTAAGGACCAATTTTACCATCCTGCTTCACAGTCACTGATTTGAATGGCATAGTTGTTGAAGACCACCAATTCATAGATGCCTATGCTCCTCAGAATCTGATCTATGAACCTGAAAGCTAGGAAATGGTCTATCACTGCATATGGAAGGCATACTTCCCTTAGTGGGATAATATTCACCCCAGGAAATTCTTCTGGCCTTTTTGAAGATGGTGCTCAGGGCCAAAAGGTGGTCCAGGTCCATCAAGGGTCAGGTTTGTGCTTGCAGTCTTCTTTCCATTCATTGATCAAGACTTTGTGCAGGGTGTCTGCCATGTGGTTCCTCCTGTGCACTCCCCTGTGACTCGGTGGGATCTGAATTCGGTTTCCTTGGAACTTCAAAAAACATCTTTTAGACTGATCAGGAATATTTCCCTCTGCACTCATTCACAAATTACTTCTGCAAGCAAGGGTCTCACTTTCTGGTCTCTCACAGGGACAAGGTGGTGTTGACGCCCAGGATTTCCTTCCTACCTACCTAATATAGTTCTTCTGATGACCTGGTTGAGGTAAAAGACAGAGTTCTCCCCCCCTGTGCCTGGATGTAGTTGTGCTATGCAAGTTTACCTCCCCATCACATTCCATTAGAAAGAAAGACTGACACTCTCTCATTCCCGATGGTCCCCATAAAGGGGAACTGTTTTCTTGTTCTAACATTTCTAGGTGGTTCAGACAGACCTAGGTGGTTCAGACAGACCATCATTTCCCCCTTTCCTGTCAAGACTCTACAAGATCTGCGAGTGCTTCTTGGGCTTTTCGGCATCAAGCAACTCTTTCCCAGATTTGCAAAGCTGCCACCTGGTCTTCTGTTCACATGTTCTCCAACATGTTCAGAAATCATCTGATGCAAGTTTGGGGACGTAAAGTGCTTTAGGCAACTCCAGTTCTTGTTTTTTTTAGTCTGTGAGTGTTTTGTTGCTGTTACCCATTCCTCGGTTCTTCTGATTTTGGACACACTCTGAATTTGAGAAGAAAGAAAATTAAATTTTTGTACTTACCGTAGAATCATTTTCTTGGAGTCCATTTAGAGACACAGGTCCCACCCCTCTGTCATGATAATGCTCTGGGAAAAACATTTTCCACAAAACTGAGGCATGCTGGGAATAGAAGAGGTTATTTGTTTGTTGGCAATGTCCAATCCTCCTGCAGGTGACTGTATAACTCAACAGTCTCTAAATTCCTGTGTGCCTCAAAGGACTGATTTCCATCAAATCCATTTCTTAGATGTCCATTGGTTTTGTACATTAATCCTTTCTTTTCCCTGAGATATTATGAGATAATGGGGCCATGCCCCCATCAGAGAGCCTCCGTACATTAGGTGTCCCTATCATAGTGCCCCCTTACATTCACTGCAAAAGTGGGGCAACCAATGTAATTGGGGGCAACCAATGAATTGGGGCACTCGGATGGGGGCAAATAATAATTAGCTGTCCCCATCAGAATGCCCCCTTATATTGGTTGTCCCCATTGGAGTGCCCCCTTACATTGCCTGTGCCCATTTACATGGTTTGATGGGAACAGCTAATGTAAGGGGCTATTCTGATGGGGACAGAGTGCCCCATTCCATTTGGTGTCCCCCTTTACATTAACTGCCAAAGTAAGGGGGCACTCTGATAGGGGCAACCAATGTATTGGGGGCACTTCGAAGGGGAAAAAAATAATTAGTTGTCCCCATTGGAGTGCCCTTTACATTGGTTGTCCCCATTGGAGTGCCCCTTTATGTTTCTACATAATATAAGGGGCCACTCTGATGTGGGAAACTAATGTAGGTGGGCACTCCGATGGGGACACCTATCTGTCCCTATCAGTGTGCCCCCATACACTAATTGTGAATGTAAGGGGGCCCTTTGATGGGGACAGCTAATGTAATGTAATTAGTGCCCCCTTACACGGACGACTGGGAGGGCTGAGAAGGTCCCAGAGGCAGGGAGGCAGAGACGGCTACGAGCAGTTGGAGGATGGAAGATAACTTTTCCATTCTCCTTTAGTGCTCGGCGTGAGTGCAGTGACGTCATTGGTTGCTAGGAATGCTGCGGTTCTAGCAACCAATGACAGGGGACATGGGTTTACTGGCTGGCTACTGTGGTCTGGATGGAACAGCTGCTTGGTCCATGTACGGACCGCAGTCCACCACTTGCAGACCCGTTTTAGGCTCAATGACTCATCACCATTGACTCATCGCTTATCAAAGATTCAGATTGAAGTTTCAGCAAATTGAACCTCAAAGCAATCAGCTCTGTTGTGCTGTCTTTTTAGCTAACCAGTAATGGTCTCGGAATCATTTGTCATGTAGAAAATGTGTGAAATACAAAAGATATATCAGTGTATATCTCCCAGACATTGTAGTTAGCTGTAGTTAGCTGAAGCAATAATTGTATCTGATTTGTTGCCCCCTTTTAGGAGCTTCCATAGGCCTCATGGATAAGGAGGGTCTGACAGCTTTAAGCTGGGCCTGTCTTAAGGGACACCTTCCTGTGGTTAGATCGCTGGTGGAAAATGGAGCAGCCACTGACCATGCTGACAAGAACGGACGTACGCCCCTGGATCTCGCAGCCTTCTATGGGGATGCTGAAGTGGTGAGTAATCCATGTGGTATAACATCTGTTGTATAGATTTGTTGCAGAGAGTAATGCATATTACTAGGTTGTAGAGATCAGATCTGCTGAGTATGTAGTAGTAGCTCATAATGGCATTGTGCAGTTGACATGACTGGACTAGTTTATTCTAAAGGTGATTCTAAATCGAGAGATCTCCCAAAATCCTGTGTGATCTTTCTTCCAGATATTTATGTAAGGAAAAGGGATGGGATACAATTGCTGGTGGAGGCCTTCCAATGTATCAGATGATGAGCTCATCTCTGGAAGTTCTTACATCTTTCTGGCTTAACAATTCAGTGATACTGTTTCTTGAAAGAATAGCTTCATTCTGTTCCAAAACTTTTATTTTTAAGGCATTTAACAGCCATTCGACTGGAGCGATGGACTAGCTCCTGTTGGCAGTCTCCTTCCTGCTGTCTGCTATTAAGATTAGATATGTACACCTCACTACACCTTTCTTTCCACCATTATGTACGCTCTAATTAATAACACTTTACTATGTCTGCTTCTGTTTGTTTGCAGGTCCAGTTTCTGGTGGACCATGGTGCAATGATCGAGCACGTGGATTACAGTGGTATGCGCCCACTGGACAGAGCTGTAGGTTGCAGGAACACGTCAGTTGTTGTGGCTCTTCTAAAGAAAGGAGCCAAGATAGGTAAGTGACAAAGCAGTAATGTGCCGTTGCTGCCTCCCCTCGTCCTACAGAAAGTTGAGATATCCAGACGTTAAGTTTCCCATTGTGTTTAATGTCAGTATAACCAGGCTTGCATGTTCCTTGTCAGCTTTCAGCTTAATATTGTGGGCCTTACATAGAATTAGGATCGTATGACACCTATAAAACACAAGAACAGTGACTATTAGCCATAGATCACTCACTAGCCAGTTCTCTAATGAACGTTTCAGTGCCTGGCAAAGCCAAATCCCTTTTTAAAATCTGCTCTTGGAATCTTTGTCGCTGCGTGTTTTTAATGTCCATCACTGGTTATCTGCGTTGCTCACTGCCCCGTCACACTGCTGCTTGTTGATGATCTGCTGCTCAGACATTAAGCTTCTGTGCTCGCTGCTCTCTCACTCCTGCTACATGGTTTGTTTTCTCTCCTCTGTCACTCCATCCGTTTATCGCCTACGCTCCTTCTCACTACCCCTGTGTCTGTTGCTTTTTAACACCACCCTGTTATTTCCTGTTATTTTACCTGATTCCCCAATGGTTTTCACTTTTTGTTATTATTATTATTATACTCTGCACCTCCTCTTTGTCTCTCCGTCCACTTTTCTCTTATCCCAACTTTCCTCAATGTCCTCCATCTCTTGCCTATATATCCTCCAAATTTGATTCCATTGATCACTTGGCACACTCCTTCTATCCTCCTCTGTTTTGTTATCCACTCTGAACTTCTTTGCTGCTTTAAGGCTGTCAGACTTTACCGAGCCGACCCAAAGGTTAGAATTTGCGCTCTCTGCACAGCTTTGCTCCGCATGCTTATTCCCTCACCAGTTACGCACATGGACCGTGCACTAGAAATAGCTGAAACACTGACAAAGTTTAAGATGCACTTACCCCCCGTGTGTGTGTGTGTGATAATGTCCAGTAGTTTCCCAATAATTTTTCCTCATTTTGAAATATCATTTTGGAGAGCTACTGTAGCTGCTTCTGTGTTGATTTAGGTCCCCCTAGTGGCCGTGTTGTGGTCTCGCTTTGTCAGATGACACAGTCATGGATGCAGCTGATACTACCATAAGTGATATTTCTATTTTCCTTATACACAGCTGACTTAAAATCAATCATCCCCACTGATGTATATACCGCAAGACAGAATTAATTAATATTCATATATATTCTCATAAATATCATGGGACGTTGATAAAGGTCCTGAAATTTGTAGAATTGGGATAATGTTAAAAAGATTGTCCAGGAAAGAGTTACTGAGGAACTGGGACTGTACAATGATTTACGGTCCTCATCTCCAAGTGCCTATGGTGCCAGTTACCAACAGACCATTCTGGCTCAGTACTGCTGATTTCATGCTATGGCCAACACTTCACATTTCCTGCGCTCTGCAGTAAATGTTCAAGGAAAACAACAGGAAGCACTTGAGGAATGTAATGTGTAAGTTATGATTATCCTTCATAGCATCCTGCGCTCTCGCAAAATCTCTGCTCTCCCTGCTGTTCCCCCAGTGCCCACACGCTTCTGACCTCTAACATTTGAATGGAAGTGTCCAGCTGCACAGAATGTCTGTGGGGATTTCTCATGTACCTAGGGGGGTGGGACCTGGGTAAACTTCGGGAGAGCGGAGATTTTGCTGCAGCATATCATGGCCACCACTGAGAGAAGTGTAACTTACACACTACACTCACCTCCCCCAGGTGCCGTAGTAAAATACTTCTTGAGTATAGGCTGACAACTGCCTTAAATTCCAATTACTCAGGAATAACCACTTACATTTGTTGTTGTAAAGAAAGCCAATGCCTTGTTGTCGGCACCTAAACAATTATATTGCAAATAAAGTAATCATCAACAATAAGAATAACTTATATTTAAAGAACTAAATTGTTTAGTAAATATATCTAGAGACAAGAAATTCTGCAAATATACCCTATAGCCTTACTACAGTCTTTGTCTTTCCAGCGTATTTTGCACACAATATAATGCACATTTTAGGTCTGGAAACGAATGAAACCCCCCAAAACACATTATATATGTATATATATATAATGTATTATATAATTTTTGAAAGCAAAGACCATGTAGAATAAAATGTTGGCAGTTGCAAATTTTTACGTTGCACGATATTAGTGCAACTCTTTATCAAACTAAAATTTTAGTAAAAAATACACTTATTTTGTGTTAAAAAATTTTTTTTTTTTTAAATATAAGATTGTGCCCCAATAGCTTCTTCCCAGGTTTCTGCAGCTGAGGTACCAGAAGTGATACAATCAGCATCGCTTCTGCCCCCATTTGGCAAGTGGAGGTCTCCTTCCCTGCTTCTCGCTGACACTTGTGATGCCAGTCCCAGGCCTGCAGAAAGGGGCAGATCCCAGCGACCAAGGTGGGGTGTCAGGGGTTAGGGGCACACTACACTGGCCCCTCAAAGAGATATGGCGGCAGCTTAGCTGTCAGAATTGCTTCCAGTGTAAAGCTGACAGCTTTAGCCACTGGGAGTCTGTTTAAAAGGGCCCACTGCCAACGACTAATCCTTTTACACCACCGATGTATGGCATATAAGGCCAAATTTACCTTTCTGACCATGCTCCATGTTACACTTATATTTAGCGTGTAACATGAAACATGGTGCCATTCCCTGGCCCCCCACCCTCAAACTGCACTCCCTCCTTACCTTCTCCCTGCAGTCTTTTGTATACATTTGTTTTTGGTGTGGCTGTGCAAGTTTCCACCATCCAGCCACATCATTCATTCATAGATCCATTCACAGGATCCACCACACCAGAGGGACTCATAGTTCTCAGTGGAGCACAAGTGCAGTGATGTCACCGCATTTGTAGTCCATTGGTTACCTTTTCCAGCTCTATAACAGAAGGTTCATACTGAGGTATGGACCTGGAGTTAAAGGAGCAGTCTGCAGGAGCCTGTGCATTACACTTACAACCCACTGATCACAGTTGAAATGCTTTGCAGGCTCAAATGCAAAACAAATATATTTAAAAAAAAATTCTCAATGAGGTTGTATCTATTATTTTTTTGCAAAAGCTGGACAGTGATGGCAGTTCTTAAATGCAGAGACCCAGACTAGTGGAAGCATTGCTTGTTTATATTCTGTACTGTATGGTGTAGAGTGCAGAATTTGGGTAAATCAGGCTACAGACAAGGAAGGCATCAGGGGGTGTCTCTACAGTTGTATTCTGCTTTTCACAATTTTCTGTCTATGTGCTTTGTTTTACCAGTGATTACATAAGTGCAGTTCCCTATAGCAATAGTCTGTGCAATTAAATCTCTCCAGCACAGGGAAGAAAAGGCTGTGGTCAGGGGTTATATTTGCAAACTGAACATGTTTTACAATTTCTTATTTAAATCGTTTGCCGATCACACATATAGAAGCGGCTTAATCCTAGAAGACCTTTTAAACAATGTGCAAAGTAGAATTGTGAATGAACATTTACTAACACATGCGCATTCGCCTTCTTTCAGCTAATGATTTACTGATTGCCCTTACCTGATGGCATTGAGCTGCCTAGTGACTGCTCCTGCCTCATACAGTTGGAGTAGGAATGCTCTTATTAGTCTATGCAGTCTATGATAATATATGCTTCTATCAAACAGATGTGCACAACAGACACATGGATTCAGCATATTGTTCAAATACATTTTTGATCTGCAGACCCTGCTGGGTATCAGCATGACTCAGTTTTTCTTTCAGACACGTTGATTAATGAGTCTGAACATACGCGAGTGTCTGTCATTCTTTGTATGCAGGTTAGAAAATAAAAATCAGAATGTAATTGCTTGCCATTGGCATCACAGACAGTTCCTGTTTCAGATGGTTTGATAAATTGAAGACGACAGAAAGATCATTTTAAAACTTAGGTACATACATTACATCCTGAGAACTATTTTCTTCCTCTTCTCCACACATATACAAAACTTGGTCAGGCTGAAAAACTGCACTAATTCTACACCTATTGAGTGTCTTATTTCATACATTCTGCTATTTGGTGAATATTACTAAAATCACATCAGCAAAGCAGAGCACTTGGCCATTTTTCAGCCTCTCTCAGTTCATAAATGATCCTTCCTCCCCTCCTGGATATATAAACCGCTTTCATTCAAACTGCACCTATACTTGTTCCCAGGTCCCAGTATTTATCCCCACCCGACATTCAGCCCTGGTCTCTCTTGTTTCACCCTGTCCTTTCTGTCCCCCATTTGTATGACCCCGATGTTGTATCTTCTTCCTCCTCTTGATTCCCCCCTCCCCCATTTGGTTCTTCCCTTGCATTGTATTAGTTTTTTTACCCATCATGCATCCTGTACACTACAGGTCCAGCCACCTGGGCCATGGCAACGTCCAAGCCAGACATCATGATCATTCTGCTGAGTAAACTGATGGAAGAGGGAGACATGTTCTACAAGGTGAGGAGACCTGGAGAAGTTTGGAAGATGCAAATTGAGTAAGAGTTCAGAATGGAGGCATGTGATGAGCAGGATATGAGGTTTTTGGTGACAATTTCCACTTCCAGCGAGGGAGTAGTCTTTTGTGTCATATTAAACATATCAAAGTGTACCATATACAAACTACTGCATGTGAACATGACATATACAGTATTTATTAGTTATTTTGCTTACCCAACATACAAATTCTGGATTTTTCTTGACATGTGACCAGATTTTATTTTATGAAAAGATCCTTTGATGGTGACTTACTTAAAAGAGAACTATGGGGTAAGTGCTTTCCCCCATAGTTCTCTTAAGGGTCACGGGAGGACATATACTAACCTACAGCTTGTGATATACTGAGACCGCCACAGCCGGGACGGATCCCGACAATGCTGTCGAGATCCAGCCAGTTGCGTGAGCGGCAGCAGGCTCTGCCTGTCTAAAGGCACAGCCAGCTATGCCCGCCCCCTGCCCTGTCTGTTCCTGCGCTAGAGGTTCAGAGGGAGGAATCCCTGCTGAAAGCCGTGAGTGACGGTCACGGCTCTCTGCAGGGAGATGATCGAGAAGTGAGGGAGCGACGCTATGTGTTCGTTCACTCACTCCCCGATCTATTGAGCCGACGTGTAACAGTTTCATCGTCACACGTCGGCTCAAACTATGAGGATGTGTGATTTTCACGCACCTCATAGTTCTCCTTTAAAAAAAAGAAATCATAGCCCAGTTGATATGTATGGAAACACTTTATAATATGATTGTATGGCACAAAAATATTTGTAACCCTCCCAGTCAGGACAATGCTGTGTCATCTTACCTATCACACCTATCTGACGAGGGTCTACACACATTACAACATTCTGTGATCCAACGGAAGTCTCAGTGATTGGATGATCGGTTTGTAATGTGTGGGGCAGGTTTCTTTCTCATGATACCTAACATTGAATAGATGTATCTGCTTGGGACATTCATATCTGTAGAGCTCAGATTCTGAAGTGAGTTTTGCATACATAGCTTTGGTACTGGCAGGACAGTGGTGATCGTAGGCCCCTTTCACACAAGCGTTTAGGTTGTCTGTTTTTCATCTGCAAATGGAGGGTTGGAAACCTGACAACAATGCATCTCTATGGCAGTGCAGATAAAAACTGAAGACCATCAGTTTACATCAGAACCATCAGTGTCAATTGAGGTCCGCAATATGAGATGGATCAGCTCTCCGTTTTGACTGACTGGGACTGATGTAAACTGATGAATAGTTTACATGAGATGAGTTCAGGTTATGTCCGTTTTCTGGCACTGATGTCAGCTGGGACAGCTTGGCAAGTGCAATGCATGCTGGGGGAAAACAAAGAATCATGGGAATTTACCGTAATAATAAAAAGTCCAAAACTGATGAAAACTGACAAACTGAATCGGTTTACACATACGTTATCAGTTTTTTTGGTATCCGTGAACTGATGACGCTCGTGTGGAAGGGGCTTTAGAGGAAATGTTTCCAGTAGTGGCCACAACTTTAGAGGTAAGGAGCCCATTACATGCTTTCTGAAAGTAGAAAATCACCTTAAGGACGAGTTCACACCTGGGCGTTTTTCAGCGCTGGGATCGAAGCACTGAAAACCGCTCAAACAGTGAAACCACATACTTCCCTATGGGCATGGTTCCCACCTGGGCGTATTTCAAGCTTTGGTAAGCAGTCAGTCATGAAGTCCTCAGTAATACAAATAAAGTCTACAAAGAATATGAGGGAAGAATGTTAGGAAAGGGAAAGAAACCCTGAAGACCTTGTTCTAGGGGCAGACGTTTTTTACTAACTACAGGTAGTTGAAACTGTTAGAGAACAAAGTATTTGTGAGTACAATGCCTTTGCTCCCTCAGAAAGGGAAAGTAAAAGAAGCGGCACAGAGATACCAGTACGCCATGAAGAAGTTTCCTCGTGAGGGATTTGGAGAAGATCTGAAGACTTTTCGAGAACTCAAGGTGTCACTTCTACTCAATTTGTCCCGCTGCCGCCGGAAGATGAATGTGAGTGATGAACTTCTTTTAGATTTTCCTAACAAGTCACTAGAACTTCTTTTAGATTTTCCTAACAAGTCACTAGATATTCTATCAGCTTACTGGGTGTTTAATGCCTTTCAAAGTATGTGATATATGGTCACTCTGATGACACTGTGCAAGCACTGTGGGTTCTTATTGCTGCTGATGTTCCATCACCATATGATCCACATGGTGCATCCTAAGGATATGAAGAATGCAAAAATGACTTAAAGAAGGGATTTGATGTTATGGTTTTTAATTTGTATCCTGCATCTGCCACACACAATGTAGTCCCAGTGTAATGTCATCATAGATGATGGTCATCTAATTTTGGCAATGCTGGTGATAACTGCAGGTAGCTGATTCCTTCCTTTCAGTGGAAGTTGGCCCCATGACATGGTGGATGAATCAGTAGTCATCAAATAAAACCAAGTGTTGCCTTGACCTCCTCCAATGCCTTGACCTCCTCCAATGCCATCAACATGCATGTTGCTGTGACTCATATTTATGTGCATTTATGTAATAAAAGAAAGTGGAGTGTGAGTGCACTGATCACTAGGCAGCACTACAACTTTCCAGCAACATCATGCAGATCTGTAATTCCAGCTAATTGATCCCTGATAGGCTTCTCAGACTACAAATACAAAAAATGTCATATCTGAGACAAATGTCATATCTGTCTTTAGCAACTAGATATTTGACTATATTAGGACTGCAGAAAGATAATGAATGCTTAGGAAATCTCTGCAAGCAGTAACTTGCTCATGAGTTGCTGGAGAATCTCTTCATGAATTATTTCTAATTGTCTCCTTTATTTAGAAGAAAGGGAATAAACCTGCCACTGCCTGCCTGGCATTTACCCGCCAAGTCGGGGAGAGGGGCTCAGCGGGTCCGTTGTGACAGTTCAAGCAAAGACAGGCACATCTTTCACTGGCAAGCAAAGACAGGCACATCTTTCACTGGCCTTTTGTGTTCAGTGAGATCTGCTTGGCTATTCCAGCCCCCCCCCCCCCCTGCCCCTCATTTAAGGATATTTTCACATTTACCCGCCAAGTCGGGGAGAGGGGCTCAGCGGGTCCGTTGTGACAGTTCAAGCAAAGACAGGCACATCTTTCACTGGCAAGCAAAGACAGGCACATCTTTCACTGGCCTGTTGGGTTCAGTGAGATCTGCTTGGCTATTCCAGCCCCCCCCCCCCTTGCCCCTTCTGTATGGATATATTCAGATTGTTATGTAATCATCTGCTGGGACCTGACATGTCTCCCAATGGTGATGAGAGTAACTTAGCTTCTACACTTGAGGCCCTCTAAATCAGTGGTGGTCAACTCTGAAGATATAAACAGTTCTTCATGCTATAAAAACATTAATTTTCATTAAAGGACATATCCACTCTAAACAGAAACATTACTACTTTATATTGCCTACTATAGTGTAGTAATATAAGCTAAGAACAGTAAAATATAAATCTCTAAACACGCCTAGAAAGGGATGTATAAACCAGACTCCTAGCATAAATTGGACCTGTGTGTTGTCAGACGATTTCCTGTGACTTCTAGGTCTTAGCATGCTTGACACTGATATGTAGAGGTTCATGTCCGAGTTAGGTGTTTGAATTGGCAAATTTAGACACACAAGTCATGAAACATCTGCATTTGTCCCATTTCATTATAGATATGTGTACTGTCTTTCCTCAATGCTTCTCACATGTAAAAAAAGCAAAACATTATCTATGATTCTGATACAACACATTTTCTCTTTTTACAGGACTTCGGAATGGCGGAGGAGTTTGCCACTAAGGCTCTGGAGTTAAAACCAAAATCATATGAGGCATTTTATGCCCGAGCTCGAGCCAAGCGGAGCAGTAGGTAAGATAATGTATTATGTAAATTACCTCAGTATGTGGTACATAGTAGACTGAAGGTTTCTGACAAGATGTATTGCTCTGGGTCCAGATTATGGAACACAAAGCAAAGTGTCCAATATCAAATGCAAAAAAAGTTGAGCTAGAGGCTTGCAGGAACCAGAGGAGTCTCGGCTCCATTCTTCCCAACAACAATCTGTGCACACAAACCCCAAAAGATGGTTTTGAGAGGTGATATTACAACAGCACTTGCTCCATGCCAAAGTACTTTTCTTACAACGTTACAGCTCAGCTACACATAATTAAGTTAGATCTATGTTTATATTTAAGTTATATCATTTCTATGTGATAAATACTCTGTTTAATGTATATTCTAAATATATAGTAATACAGAATGCTCCTTCATTCCGATCCTTTTATTTTCCTGGAATATAATCGCAGGGTAGAGCCGCTGTAATGGAGAACAAGTGTGATCTCCATAGTTTTCACTTAACGTAAGTTTTTACATACAGGAGACATTTTTGATGAGAAATAAAGGATACATTCATACATGTAGTGTATTTCCTCCCACCCTTTGTATGTGCTATACCAGAAAGTGAGGACATTGCAATAGTGTGTCATTGACATTTCAGACTAGAACTGTGATGGTTGAGCTCAAATGTATAATCATAGCCACTAATCCTCTAAAATATGAGATTCTTGTAGATTCTTATTTTAGGCCTCATTCACACAAGAATCGGCCAGCACGTACAGCTCCGTGCATGGCGTATCAGGCAGCTCCAGGGAAGGACAGGTGCTGCGTGTGATTAGTAGGCAGCCCCTGTCCTTCTCTATGGGAGTATGTGGCTGTACGTCGCCCTACAGTGCAAGTCCACACGGGTGTGGGTGTCCCGGCTCAGACGCAGACAGGATCCATCCTGTCAGCGTATGTGTACGGACACCTGCACCCGCATGGACGTGCAGGGAGGGTGAGCGTAGGAGGGCGTATGGCCGCGTACTCCCATAGAGAAGGACAGGGGCTCTGTACTAATTACATGCATCACCTGTCCTTCCTGGGAGCTGCCTGATACGGCCGTACACGGAGCTGTACGTGCTGGCCGATTCTTGTGTGAATGAGGCCTAATTGTCTGCATTGTCAATAAAAAAAAAGTGATATCAAAGGACCTGAACAATATCTATAATGAAGAATTTGCTAGATTATTACTTTGTTCCTTACCAGGAGTGCTTTGTATCTTGCAGACAATTTGCAGAAGCTTTGGAAGATCTGAATGAGGCTATTCAGCTTTGCCCTACCAACCGTGAGATCCAGCGGCTCCTAATGAGGGTGGAGGAAGAATGCAGGCAGGTGCAGCAAGAAGAGGAGGTGCAGGAGTTACAAGATGAACCAGAACCTGAAGTTCCAAATGAGGACATTGACTCCACTCAGGAAGACTTGTATGAGGAAGAGTATCTGGAACAAGACATAGATGCTGTCGCTGTTGGATTACAGTCTGAAGGAAGGCAGTGTCAAGGCCTTCCAGGATTGCAGAGCCCACCCCAGTCTCCTGCACATCGGGACTCTGCCTATATGTCTGGATCACACCAAGTATTTGACTTCAGATCGAACAGCTCGGTTGGCTCCCCTACACGACAAAGTTATCAGTCTACTTCCCCTTCCCTATCTCCAACACATCAGAACTCTCACTATCGGCCCAGTCCTCCACAAACATCACCTGCACACCAGAGCACTTCCTATCGGTTTAGTCCGCCTCCAGTGGGCGGTCAAGTAATAGACTATCCAAGCCCTCCTCCATCACCGTTACGCAGAGCACCGCAATACAGGGCTAGTCCGCCAAGTGACAGTATTGGCATGTATAGGCAACAGTCTGGTTCTCCAGTAAGATATCAGCAAGAGCCATGTGTAAGCCAGCATCCAGGCAGACCTAAGTCTCCTTTGTCCAAGATATCACAGCGGTCTTTCCAAATGTCTCAGCTTCCCACAGCAGTTCCACAACCTGCACACAGATTACAGCCAGCCAAGGCACAAATTGTACGCAGCAACCAGCCCAGCTCTTCTGTGCACTCCAGCGCTGTGATTCCTGGGGGAACTTATGGACAGGTGGCACACGGTATGGCAAGCAAATACCAAACATCTGGGGAAATAAGTCAAAGCCGTCTAGTATACCAAGCTTCTCTTGGCGGTCTCATAGCCGATGGACGCCCCATGCAGCATGTGCAAGCCAGCTTAAGCGCAGGGGCCATTTGTCAGCATGGTGGCATTGTGAAGGAAGACATTCCCCAAAGGCCAACCTCTGCCTATAGGGGTGGTATGAGGTATAATCAAACTCCACAGATTGGGCGCAGCCAATCTGCGTCATACTATCCTGTGTGTCACGCCAAGCTGGATCTTGAACGCTCTTCTCTACCCTCCAGCCAGCTAGGTTCTCCAGATGTTTCCCACCTAATAAGGCGGCCAGTGAGCATCAATCCCAGTGAAATAAAACCTCACCCGCCCACTCCAAGGCCCCTGTTGCACTCGCAGAGCGTGGGACTTCGCTTTTCTCCATCCAGCAACAGCATTTCATCCTCTTCCAGCCTGTCTGCTACTTTCCGACCGTCGGCTTCTATACAACAAATGGAGATTCCTCTCAAACCCGCTTATGAGAGACTGTGTGATGAACTATCTCCTGTGTCCCCACCCCAGGGAAGTTACCCCAATGAAAACTCACGCTCTAGGACCACCCCCTTCATGGGGATAATTGACAAGACCGCACGGACTCAGCAGTATCCCCAGCAGTATCCCCACCATCATCAGCAAAGCCGGACATGGGCTGTTTCTTCTGTTGACACTATCCTCAGTCCCACATCGCCCCAGACAGAATCTTTCAGTCCCCCCTCTTCTATCAGCAACATCGCCTTTTATAACAAAACCAACAATGCACAGAATGGACATCTCCTTGAAGACGACTACTATGGCCAGCACGGTGTGCTGGCCAATGGCTCTCGAGGGGACATATTGGAGAGAGTTACACAGGCCTCCTCATATCCAGATGTCAAAGTGGCCAGAACACTGCCTGTTGCGCAGGCTTACCAGGACAACCTGTACAGACAGCTGTCTCGGGACTCTCGGCAGGGCCAGACTTCGCCCATCAAACCAAAGAGACCATTTGTGGAGTCTAATGTGTAGGACAACAGACATTTCCCCTAGCTTTTCCGTTCTTTTTCGGTATAAACCTTCTCTCTCTTTACATATACCTCCCTCAAAGCTGGAGCCTGAGTAACTCTTGTAAAGGTATCAGTCCCGTTCCAGAACCCCGAGTTATTGGCCCTTCACTTTAGTTTTCTTAGCTGACCCAGAATGGGGCAGACCTGGTGTTTTAGTGCAGTAGGGTGTTGTTTAAAAAAAAACACTCTAGACTTGAAAAGAAGGTGCACACGGGTTACATTTGTGACCCAAAAGAAGGTGCACACGGGTTACATTTGTGACCCAATCTGTTCAACTGCCCAGTATACAGTTGGTAATGTATGTTTTTTGCAATCGACTGATTAATGATTTAATTGCAAATAGTGCAAATAATTTAAAAGTGAAGTCAGCCCCGGCGGTCTCTGTATACTTCTAACGCCCTATGGTGTAAACTTGAGGCATCCCATGTTCCTCTTTATATCATTGCTTTTGCAGGCAGTGTGTTTTACGGCCTTGAGTAACCAGACAGACCCTGCCATGTGGGAGCACAGCAGCTGGAACGTTGAAAAATGTAAGGCCACTTACAGCACAAAAGTCATCTGGGAATCTGATCAAATAAGGGCTCTATTCATAGTCATCATTACATTAATAGCCATGAAACTGTATATGTAACATACACTGGGATGCTAGGCTGTCACTGATGCTTCTTTTTTTTTTACAGGGTCTGGCTCTTGGGATCACAAAACCTCAGTCCTTTACATCTATTTCTCTTGCTTCCACTAGTTGAAAAAGTATGTGGTTCCAGGTAGATTGCTTTTACCAAATCATGTAGTAGGCTGGGTGCAGTGGACTGTATTGTAGATCTAGTCTAGCCTTGTCCTGCTAGAAACCTCTACAGGGCTGTCTGTAGATCTATTCTCTAGCCTTGTCCTGCTAGAAACCTCTACAGGGCTGTTCTATAGCAGTGGCTATTGTTACCAGTAAAATATTCACTATTTACTGAGAATGTTTTCTTTGTGAATTAGGCCTAAATGGCGTAACACTTACGGGTAGAGTGGGGCCGTTCCAAGGAAAGACAGGTGCTGCGTGTGATAGCAGCATGTTGTTCCCTATGGGAGGTCGCGGCCGTACGCTGTAGTACGCTCACCGGAGCTGCATCCGAGTACGGCCACCCGCACGTATGTGCAGCTCAGGTGTGCGTACGACCGCCTCCCCATAGGGATACGGCCGCACGGATCTGTAAGGCCTCATTCACACAGGGAAGAGGGGAGCCGAACTCCTGCAGTCTATTCAGTAAGATAGTTGGCAATCAATCAGAATTCAACTTTCCCTCTACAAGGTAATGTAAAGAGCAATACATATGCAGAGTTAGTTTTAACCCACTAGAGTCCCTGGGCCCATTTCTCCAGAAATTCCAGTGTGTTTTTCTGCTTAATGTAGGACATTTATAATATGGTAGAGCAGACTTTTTAATCATTTTTTTTCTGGGGCAGCTAGGGCTTAACAATCTAAGTATCTATATGGAAGCAGATTTTTATTTCTGTTTATGAGGTAAATATATGAAGGCTGCAAAAATGACAATCAACAAATGCTGTTGATTGAAATTTCACATTCGTTTAAGTAACGCAGCAGAAGGGTAAAGCTCCAGTCCATGTGTTTTACTTTGATTTACAAAAACCGGTGTGCTGGTGACATTATTCCTACTTTCTAAAACTAATGATCCATTTTAATGGCACATTGCCATCCAAAACAAGCGCTTTCGGGGCCACAAGGGGTCCCCTTCATCAGGCTCAGAATGACACATCACTAAAGGATTCATCAACTTTATATAGACATCACACAGTGAGAATAAAAATAAGCCACTCCCATAAGTTATTTTTAGTCTCACTGTGTGATGTCTATATAAAGTTGATGAATCCTTTAGTGATGTGTCATTCTGAGCCTGATGGAGGGGACCCCTTGTGGCCCTGAAAGCGCGTTTTGGATGGCAATGTGCCATTAAAATGGATCATTGATTTACAAAAAAACAGTGTCCTGGTGACATTTTTCCTACTTTCTGTGATATACACGGTGCCTTCCGTGGTCACTACGAGCACCCAACCAGTTTAGGCTCTTTTCGGTAAGGAGTGCAGCAAGACATCCTGTTTCTATTACTTTAGTTTTATTCCCCGTTTGCCGTAACAATGGGATGGATGCAGGGGGAAAAAAAAAAAGGCTTGCGTAAATTGTTAACTGAACAGCCAGTGGTTACCACACCAGTGCCAGCGGGGGCCCACACACAGGAGCTGCTGAGTCTGGGTGCTGTTTTAACATTGGAAAGGGGTGGAGGCTGATTGTCCCACAAACACAAACAGCATTCAGCACTCAAGTGGTTTAAAAAGATTTTCCTGGTCTCCTCAATAAGTGACTCACTGACCAGGATATACATACCAGGCATGGAGTAAGCATGTACAAGTATGCAAAGACATGTGTATCATGCTAAGTCTGTACAGCAAGCTTATGAAAGTGCATTGGCTGGGAGCGCCATTCTTAAACAAACCAGCAGAGGCAGCCCCCATATTCTGGTGCAGCCCCCATATTCTGGTGCAGTCATCTTTTTAAAATATACTAAAATGTTTGATATTTTAAAAAGATAAGAGCCGTTATATTAACGTGCAGAGCTCATCATGATAGATACCTGTAATGGTGGACATAACGGGCTTTTTAAAATTACAAACTGTATATTAGTGGCTTTTCAATGTTCTGCATACAATAAGTACAAATAGTTTGCAGAGGATAAAGATGGCGTCTGATTGCCTGCTCATCTGTCTTGACAAGCATTGCTTAAAAGAACTGGGGTTAAGGCTTTTCCCCATAGTTCTCCTTAGAGTAATGGGAGGACACAAACTAGCGTCCTCCCGTCACCCTAGGCTCAGTATACCGCGAGCTGCTGCTCACGGTATACTGAGACGACGCAGCTGAAGCGGATCCCGACAATTATGCTGGGATCTGCCCAGCTGCGTGAGTGACAGCTGGCTCTGCCTATCTAGAGGCAGAGACAGCTGTACCCGCCCCCTCCCCCGTCCGTTCCGCCAGTCAGCGCTGGCAGATCAGAGCGGGGAGGGGGGAATCCAGCCCCTCCCGTCACGGCAGAGAGCTGTGACAGGATCGAGAGGTGCGCGAACGCCGGTATGTGTTCGCTCACCTCCCGATCTACTGAGCCGACCTGTGACAGTTTCATTGTCACAGGTCGTCTAGAACTATGAGGTGAGTGAAAAAGCACTCCCCTCATAGTTCTCCTTTAACAGAGAGGTAACTTGGCACTTGGTAGTAATGGTGAAATGACTAACCTGCCCCCAATAATATTGGTGAACAGACAGGGGCGGTTATCCCGGGGGCGCATTGTTCCATTCTGAATGATCAGATCAATCCCAGTTTAGCATTACATTAGATCTGCATGTCTTTTTTTTTTGCTACCAGTAGAGTTTTGAAATGGAGTGTTTTGTGAACCATGAGCCAGCACAAGAGCAGCAGTGTGGTCTTCTAGGACAGGTGAGAAGGAATTTTGACTTGCTGTGGGCACAGAACCATTCATTCATTCATTCATTCATTCATTCTTAAGTGGATGAGTTTAATCAGCCCAGACTTGATGCATAAATAAAACTGGAATGGTGACCGGGATGTACTTGATCACACCTATTCATAAAGCAGAAACATACCAGTAGCTACAATATGGTTTCTACTATCAAACCGAATGTTCTCAGGTGTACATACCTGTCCACATACATCAGATTCTCCTAAATGTTCCAGACTGTGGATAGTCGGAGACCAGACCAGAGGGCTCATGTTGTAAAGGAGCAGATGAACTAAATGGCCAGTTTAAAATACATTAGAACTACAGTCTCCATGTAAACACAACAACTACACTTATCATCCTTGTCGAATGCTCCTAGTGTCAGTGATATGTGCAATAAT